CAAATTCAATGAATAACATTAAGAATTGAAAAAGTTTAACATATACTCTTCAATCAATTAATTGGTTATATTAAAGAAAGACAAAGACCAACAAGGAAGTATGTCATTAAATAATGAAGAACCATTGTTTATTCTTTTAGTCTATTGATAAATTCAACTATCAAATAATAATTCAAATTGTAATATTCACTGAATAATAAATAATATTAAAAGAGATGTGACTAAACATATAATCAGTATCTTTCATTTATTTATTGTTGAATTACATTTGATTAATTCAAATGACTTTTACCAATTTATTAGTTTTCTTCTACTCTTTTGGTTTAATATCGAATTACTATTTTTCAATCAATAAACACAATCATAAATTCATTAATAAACAATACACAAGCAATTTAATTAATAAAACATTCATTGAGTTATTTAATTCATTAAAAATAATAATTGGTTTTGGTGTATTGTTAATTGATTGAACAATATTCTTAATGAAATACAAATGCAATCATACTACTAAAAATAATTATAGTTTTATTGTTACACTTCTTTTTAATTCTAATATCATTGCATTCAACTTTTGTGTAATGTATTCCAAATAATCAAATCATATCATTAGATTAAATAACAACATTAATCATAAAATATATTAAAGCATAACGAGTTTGTATTTATGTTATATATAACAAAATAAAATTAGGAAAAAAGTTAAATACAGAAATTAGATATCGCTCATCTTTCTTTAGTTTGATGTGTTTATTGGTATTGAAATAAAGACTATTCAAAAACTAACTTATACAAAGATTATATAAAATTTCAAATTAAGCAACTTTGTTCTCGAATGTAAAACAATAAAAATACATTGTTATAACTAATTTTAATAATGCTAACTCAATAAACCAATTTATTTGATTTATCATAAATATTTATAATAAAAACTCATTCCATTTACTTTTTTTAATGTGAGTATTATCTTCAGAAATAAAGGCATAGTATTTAATTTAAGTATGAGTAGTTGTAATAGTTGTATTAAAAAAAATAATTCAAATCTTTTAGAGAAAACAGATTTAATTAATGTCACCTTTGTTGATAAATCAAGGTAGAGGCTTTACCTCAAAGAATAAAATAATAATATGATAAACAAATGGGAACTACAATACTTTATTGCAATATGACAGAATAGTATTTTATTCAAAATTTAAAAATTTCAAAACATAAAAAAAAAGAATTTCTTTAATTGGGAAGATTAGTATTAAAAAAAGCAAAACAATTTTTTAATTTGAAGATTTTGTATTTGATTGATATTTTTAAATAAAACAAACAAATTATTATTTCTAAAACGAATATTGTTTAATTATTTTGTGTTTCTTTTTGTCTGAATTTTTTATGAAAAAAGGATTTTGATTTTTATAAAATATGAGTTACTTAATTAAAAATTTATTTAAAAAAAAAAATAGAATATTCCACTTATTTAAGTTAATGTTATCTTTAAGTTTGATAGTTTGTTACTCGACAATTTAGGATTTGTTGTTTTTACGTAATCAACTTTTATGAAGAAAAGTCATAATAAAAAAAAAAAATAATTAACTTGCTTTTTATCAAAAAGAAAAAAGATGAAAAAGAATCTTTAATTTCATCTACAAAATAAAATTATTCGAGAAATTTGAAGTTTTAAATAGTTATTATTTTACAATTAAAAAATGATAAAAAAATCGGGAAATGTATTGAAAAGAGATTCTTCATTTCATTTATGAGATGGATTGAATAAAAATAGATTGTTGACCTATTTCAAGCAAGAACTCAAAAATAATAAGCATAATTTTAATGCAAGTATTACTTGTTCTTCTCGCTATTACTTGTGCATTTGCTGATCAATCAAGCACTGCTTATTATATTAGAGAATTTTATGAAGTTCAAGACAAAGTTTCTATTTTAGAAGCTGAATTAAGTAGAATTGAAGATATTGAAAGACACATCCATGACAAAATCGATCATGCTGTACTTGATGTTGAAGCTGCTCCACAATCACAAAAGGGAAAAATCCAAAAAGAAATCAATTTAATGGTTTCTCAGTTAAATGGATTTATGAAACAAAAAGCTAAGTTAGTTAAGGGAATGAAAAAGTTATTGGCTTCTGTTCCAACATATGTTAAGGAAAGAATTATTAATACTCTTCATATTGAAAAAAGGTTCAATAGAAGTGAAGAAGTACTTGACGATGCTGAAGTTGTTAAAAGTGTAAAATCAAAGAAGGCTAAGTCTGTAGCTAAGAAAATAGCTAAAAGTGTTGTTAAAAAGCAATCTAAGGAAGTAAAAAAAGAAGTTAAAACTGTCACAAAGAAAGTCCATAAAATTGAAAAGAAAATCATTAAAGAAGCTAAGAAAATCATTGAAAAGGCTAAGAAAGAAGCTAAGAAATTAACAAAGGCTTCAAAGAAGGCTACTAAGAAAGATTCAAAGAAGGCTTCTTCATTAAAGAAATCAATGAAAGCTTTGAAGAAGAGTTTGAAGGCTAAAGTTAAGAAAGCTGAAAAGAAAGCTAAGGCTCAAGCAAAGAAACAAGCTAAGAAAATTGCAAAGAAACAAGCTGCTAAGACTCAAAAAGCTATTGCCAAGAAAGTTAATAGTAAAGTTAAGAAAGTCACTAAAAAAGAAGCTGCTGATAAGAAGAAATTATTGAAGAAAGTTAAAAAGGCTGAAAAGAAAGGAAAGAAAGCAGCCAAAGAAGCAAAGAAATCAGGTGAGAAAGCTGCTAAAAAAGCCGCTAAAGCAGCAAAGAAAGCTACTAAGAAAGTTACCTCAGTTAAATCTAAAGCTGAAAAATTATCAAGCAAAGCCGTTAAGAAAGCTCAAAAAGCTGTCAAAAAAGCCACTAAAGAAGCAAAGAAAGCTAATAAAGATGTTAGTAAGAAATTAAAGACTACAAAGAGTGATCTTAAAAAGAAAGCTAAAAAAGCCGCTAAAGCAGCCAAGAAAGCTATGAAAGTTGAAAAGAAACAAGAAAAGAAATTGAAACAAGTTAAAAAACAAGTTAAGAAAGGAACAAAGAAAATGAGTGCTGTTAAAAAATTAAAGTCTCAAATTTCAAAGAGTAAGAAAAATGTTAAAAAGGCTCTTCTTAAGGAAAAGAAATTGAAGAAACAAATTAAAAAGACTGCACAAAAAGCTAAAAAGACAGCCAAAAAATCTGCTCAAAAAGCCGCTAAAAAGTCAGCTAAAAAAGCTCAAAAGAAAGCACTTTCATCTGCTAAGAAATATGTTAAAAAGACAACCAAGAAAGTAACTAAGAAAGATGCTAAAAAGATTAAAAAGACACAAAAGAAACTTATTAAAAAATTAAAGAAAGCTGGAGTTTCAAAGAAAGTATTAAGAAAAGTTCAAAAGAAAATGTCAAAAGTTAATAAATTATCAAAGAAAAGTACAAAGAAAGCACAACTTAAAGTTAAAAAGATGATGAAAAATCTTAGAAAACAAAGCAAAAAGTATGTACAAAAGAAAAGTGCTAAATTAAATAAAAAGATATCAAAAATTAATAGAAGAAAGAAAGTTTCAAAGAAGGTTAATAATAAGAGAAGAGTTAATAAAAGAATTAATAAAAAGAAATTAGTTAAAAAACTCAATAAGAAAAAGTCTGTTAAGAAAATTAATAAAAAGAAAACAATTAAGAAATATAGTAAGAAAAGATTTACTAAATTAACTAAAAAGCTTAATAGAAAACTTACTAAGAAATTAACAAAGAAATTTGGAAAGAAAAAGGCTATGAGAATTGTTAAAAAAATGAAAAGATTTGAAAAGAAAGCCATGAAAAAAGGAATTAAGAAAGGAAAGTTTAATAAAAAGGCACTTCAAAAATTAATTAGAAAAGCTGCTAAAAAATCAATGAAAAAATATTCAAAGAAAATTGCTAAAAGAAGTTCTAATAAAAAACTTCTTTTAAAGTCTAAAGCCTTTATTCGTAAAGCAAAAAAGAGTGGAATGGCAAAGAAGGCATTTAATAAATTTAATGCTAAGAGACGTATTCTTAAAGCCCAAATGAAAAAGGTTAAGAATTTGAAAAAGGCTTTGAGAAAAGCACATGGATCTTCAAAGGCTCAACTCAGACACAAAATTCATAAAGTACAAGCTAAGGTTAAGGCTGCTAGAAGATCAGTAAAAAGAACTATGAAAGTTGCAAATAGAGCTATTCGAAAAGTATCAAGATCAGTATCAAGACCTAAACCATCTAGATCCTCAAGATCTAGACCATCAAGTTCAAGAAGAAGAAGATAAGATAATTGGAATATGTTTACGTTGAGAGAAAATATTTTTTAGTTTTTTTATTTTAAAAATTTAGAATTCTTAAAATTGTTGATTAAAAGAAACTAAAATCAAAATTAATAAGTAATGTCTGAAAGTCCACAAGAAGGAAGTCCTATTTGGGTTATTTGTTTAGTGTGTGGGTTAGTATTGTCTGTTGCTGTTATCATTGAAGTAGTTCATTACACTAAATTATATATTGCTGAAAAGAAAACCAAAAAAGTAGAATCACCAATGTTAAAGAATTAAAAAAACAAAATAATGTGATTTAACTAATAAAATAAGTTACGTGTTGCTTAGTAGTTTATCATGTTTTTTATTTTTTAAACTCAAAAAATAGTCATTCAAATAAAATTGTTTCATGAAACTTTTTGTTACTGTTGGTACGACTGAATTTGAACGACTTATTGAAACTATTAATGAAGAGGATGTAATGAAACAACTCTCCCAAATTGGAGTTACTGAAATGGTTGTTCAATATGGACATGGAAAATATATTCCTGAAAGTAAAGCAGGTATAACAGTTCATTCATTCTCTATGAAAACATCAATTTCAGAAGATTTTAAAGCTGCTGATTTAATCATCACTCATGCTGGTGCAGGATCTGTAAATGAAGCACTTAGTGTAAAAAAACCAACTATTGTTGTCATTAATGATGCATTAATGAATAATCATCAAACAGAAATAGCAAAGAAACTTTCAGAACTTGGAGCAGTTACATATTGTCCTTCTCCATCTATATTAAAAGAATTACTTTCTCATTACACTGTTCAACCTGGAAAAGACATTGTTCTTAAAGGAAAAGAGGTAGACGAAAAAATTGGTTATCTCATGAAGGAGTGGTGTGGATTAGATAAAAATAAAGATAAAGAAATTTGTGTAGTTCTTGGAAGTGGTGGACATACAATGGAAATGCTTCATGTGTTACATCCATTAGATGAATTGTGTCATGACGTTATCAAACAATTTGATGTAATTGTAGCTGAGAGTGATAATATAAGTTCAAAAAAATTAGAAGGAATAAAAAGTAAATATAATGTTCATCAAATTCCACGAAGTAGGAAAGTTGGACAGTCATACTTTACTTCTATTTTTACAACATTATATGCGATATTTGTTTGTATTGGTATGGTTTTAAAAATTAGACCAGAAGTATTACTTTGTAATGGACCAGGAACATGTGTTCCTGTTTGTATTTGTTGTTGGTTTTTAAATGTTTGTTATTTTTAATAGGTTTAAGTATTTAATATTACATTTATATTAATTTTCTAGTTATTCCAAAGGAAAAAAACAAGAATTGTATATCTTGAAAGTGTATGTAGAGTAACTACATTATCTCTTACTGGTAAAATATTAAAATTTATTGCTGATATATTTGTTATTCAATGGGAAGAATTAAAACCATTAAATAGAAATGCAATTGTCCATCATCTCTTTTATGCTTCAGATAATTAACAGTTAATAAAAATTTTATTATTTTTGAAAGAAAGTTTTAGAGTTTCATGTTAATCTCATTTATATTATATAGCATTATTTACTTTTTTAATTTTATTTAATGAAACTATCAGTACTTGAAGTTGTTTATTTAGATTAACTACGAATGAAATTTTCAACCTCCAATAATGTTACAAATTTTATGATAGTTTCCCATAAATGTGAAGAGACTGCTAACTGTTTAAAAGTTAATACATCCTTCATTAATGATAATTCATTAAAATGGTTTTTAAGCTATTTTCAAATTGAAACATTTGATTTTGATAAAAGTGATAGAATGTGTAATGAGTATTATAGAAATCATTTATATGTAAAAAAAGGGTACTTCTTTTATTAACTGAGTGATTAAAAGCAATTGTATGAATGAAATTATAGAAAAATTTTATCCAAAATTAGTTTTTTATATATTAATTCAAAATAGAGAAAAGGAAGATTGGTCATTCCCTTATTGTGTTAAAACATTTATGTTTGAAAGAAATAAAGCTCAGTGAGATTACCTCAAAAAGGTAATGTGAGAATGGAAAATGTAGAACAATGTGTTGTTTGTGATTGAATTTCACTTAGTTTTGAATTAGATACATTATTTTCATTAAAAGAACTTTCTATTCAAATGAGTGAACCAATTCAGTTTAGTCAAATTCATTTTAATCAATTAAATAAACTATCAATCAATAATTCTTCAAAAAAAAAAATAATATTTATTGATATTTCTTTTGATACATTAAAAGAAATAAAAGTATTTAATTCATGTCGTGTTTTAATACCATCTAACCTAAATGGAATAGAAGAGATATTATTATTTAATTGTGAATAATGGATATCCATATATTTTCATTACAAAATAAGAAGGTATACTAAAGATTCTTATGTTAGTTTTGGACAACAGAAATTAGAAGATATTGATAATAACAATGAACTATTACAACAATCAGACAGTGCTACAAAATATAATGTTCAACAAAGTTGAAACCCAAGTTGGTTTATCTTTTTTTAGGAATGATATTAATGAAAATAATGGAATGAACTTTACTAATATAGAATTAGATTAATTCAAAGAAATGTTTGAAGATTATTTGAATATCCATTTGATAAAAATAAAGTTGATAAAAAGGTTTTTAAAATAAGATATTTGTTCCTCCAGTTTTTTCTTATGTTAAAATTGAAAATAAAAAAATTATTCATATAACAAATATTTCTTAAGGTGATATAAATATGGTAATTTTTAATGACTGTTATACTGAAATACAACAAACAAGAAGTTTTTAAGTTTATAACTTTTAATGGAGAATATAAGACAATTAAAAATAATAAGATATTTTAAAGTAAAAATAAAAGATGTAAGGTTTATTTCTATTGGTTTAATTGATACAAAACAATATTTTAGTTTTAGTAATTGTTACGTTAGATGGAAATAGTATTCAGTTGGATATCACGCTGATGGTGGTATTACTTTTAATGGATTTTATGATAAAATACAAATTAATCTTCTTTATGGAAACGAAATTGGTATAGAAAACGTTGGTAGTTGTGGATATAACGGAAAAACTCATGAAGTTTTCTTTAATAGAAATGGTGTTCTAATCTAAAGTAATGCACTTTACTGAGAGTTTATTTACGCTGCTATTGAATGTGAACAATTTAATGAAATTACATTAAATTGTTGAGAAGAACCATTTAAATTTGATTTATTAATATTTGAATAAAAATATTTTTAAATAAATTTTCTTAAAAGCTTTTTATTTATTTTTAATTTAACTTTTTTTGGTTTTTCAATTTAAAATTAAATGAAAAATAAAAATCAACTTCGTTATAATTTATTTTTTCATCAATTTTATTTTTTTATTTTTAAAATTAAGTATCTTCATTTATCATTCTCATAAAATCCTTTTTTTTACTTTGAGAATATTTTTAGAATAAACCAAAGTTATAAAAGTTGGCGTTATTGATATAATTCGGAAATATTATTTTTTAATAAAAACCACTTTTTTATCAATAACTTATTTTGATTTATTAATATAGATTAATATGTATTTATATGTCTTGAGTCTAATCTTATAAAAATATGAAGTTATTTAAAATAATAAGTAATAATATTACTTTTGTAATTCTTAAATTAAATTACAGAAAACTCAAAACTTTATATTTATAAAACATAACATAACATCTAAAAGAAATTATTCAAATAATTTGTAAAAATTAATATTAAATTATGAAAAAGTAATTTTTTTTCTGGTTTAAAAATACTTCAATAATTAAAAATAAAATTATGAAAAAAAACGATAAATCGAAAGAGTATTAAGGGTGATAAATGAATATTTTATCGGGAAAAATAAGTAAATTGGAGAAATTACATAATTAAAAATTTAAATTTGAAAAAGAAAATTGAACTAAATATTATTTAGTTTAAATGTTTATTATCTTACTTGCACTATTTACATTCTCTTCATTTTCGAAAGAATGTTCTTGCAATACATTTATGAACCTCGAACAGGGATGTGAATCAGTGAGTGTTAGTTCTAACTGCTATTTAATAGTTAGTACTTCTTCAACTCTTTCACTCACTTCAGTTGGAGACTCCCTAGGCAAAGTTGTTGTTCAGAATGGTGCTACTCTTACCGTCAAATCTATGAGTGGTGTTCAAATTAGTAATCGTGGGACTCTCATTTTACAAGGGGCTCAAAGTGGAAAGGTATTTAGTTCTGGAATTATAACAATTTCTGGAAGTGTTAGTTTAGATTATATCTCAATAAGTTCTAGTGCAAAAGGATCTATTAATTTTAATGAACAAGTTAATTCAGAATATAACGTTATTTTTAAACAAGCTATTCTGTCAAAAGGATTTACTGTGTCAGCACCTTATAAACTAACTATTAATAAACTTGGATCTGATAGTTCTGAAGAAGTTAAAGTTACTTCTGCACAATTTGATATAACAGTATTATCATATGAGAGTGATATCATATATTATTTGTATCATAATAGTCTTAGCTTTACAGCAGGAAATGTTTTAAATAAAGATACCAAAAATACAATTAAATGTTACCAAAATACATTTAGTACACTTTCTGGAGCTGCCAAATCTAATGCTGCATGTCCATGTTCATTGTCTAATGATCTTTGTGATTTAACTATTTCACAAAGTGGTAGTATAGGGTCAGGAGAGTCTCATTATAATACATTAACAATTGATGGAACAGAAGAGATTACTCTTAAAGGGAATAGTGACTCAATATTAATAATTTCATCTCTTGATCTTAAAACAAGTATTACATTTGATTCATTCAAAAAGGTTATTATTTATGGACAATCATCAAGTAGTGGTAGTATAAATATTTCTGTTAAAGAAAGTGTAGAGGAATTTTCTATTTTTAATAGTGCTTCTACCAAGATTGACACATCTGCTAATAGTTTCACAATTGAATCTGTAGCTAAAGAAGTAGTTGGATTGAATATTCACAAAGGGAATGTGAACATTCTTTCAGACAATAAGTTTAAAATTCTTGTAGAAGAAGGGAGTGTTACTTTTAAAGGAAGTAAATTTGAAGATGAAGAAGTTACTCTTAACTCAGGGTATCTTGATATTACTGGTGTTGAGATTTCTAAAAGCAGTACTTCAACAATAAAGTTAGGTCCTAACAGTTATATCAAAATCAAACCAAATGCAACAACTATTGATGATAAATTTATAGTTACTTCTTTAGAAAATAACAAAGACAATTTATATCTTTCTTGCGATTTGAGTTATATTAGACTTAGTACTAACAATGAAGAAAGTTGTTTGTGTTTGTATAATGATCCAATTAACACATATCTTAATTGTGGTTCATTCTATTCTGTTGGTTCAGGAGACCTTATTATAGATGAAAAAGATGAAAACGTTAATAACCTTATTACAACAAAATTCACTTTTGGACATGACACTCTTATTCTTGGTGGTACTGATTTTAGTTCACTGGTATTTAGTGTGCTTGATATGAATGGTAAGAGTAATGTTGTTATTAAGTCTTCTTTAGATAGTCGATTTGATCTTACAATCTCAGAGTTCACAAATGTTCCAAAGTATTTAACTTTTGAAAATATAAATCTTAAACTTCCAACAGAATTTGTATTTTCAGATGGTCAAGTGCTTATATTGAAGAATTCTATGGTTTCATTTGGTCATGAACAAAAATTCAAACGAATTGAAATGGACCATCGTAGTAGTATTAAGAGTAACAGCGGTAACATTAATGCAGAAATAATTCATTTTGATTTCTCAGGGCTTAATGCTGATGTTAAAGAACCACTTATTGAACTAGGAACCGAATATTATTTAGTTGTTAGTAAATTTATTAATTACGTTAATAGTACTAGCTCAGATAATCATTATCTTGTCATTACTAAAAATACTGATTTTAAGAATTATAATGGTGATGTACCAAATGGACTCTCTCTAAAATGTACGAATAGGGCTCTTATGTATATAAAATCAGCTGATGGTATTTCTAATAATTTCAAGTGTTCTGAAATCGGACTTGGAGTCAAACAGTGTGTCATCAAAAGTACTGATATCGAAGGTAATAGCATTGATTTGTCATTACCAGATTCTTATGAAAATAATATTGATCAAGGATGTCCATGTAGACATGATATCTCTGAATCAGCAGATAGTTGTGATGTTACTTTTAATAGCGAGGGTAATGATATTTTATTTACTTCTTCTAAAAATGAACAAACATTCTCTGTTATGGAACTTCATGCTAACAGCGTTAATTTCCAAATCAACAAATTTATTGTTAATAAACTCTTGTTGTCTTCTAATGTTGAGTTTAATACTGCTGGTGGTGTTAAGATTACCACACTTGAAACAAGTAAAAATGCTAAAATTGTGTTTCATCATCAGTCTACACTTGGTAATACTAAAATTCATTCCGGTAGTACATTAGATATAAAATGTGAAACTGATACATTCTTTGAAGGTAACATTAATGTATTAGATAACAGTAATAAACTGAAAAAAGATGATGGCACCACTAAAGAAGAGGCAAGTGGAATATTTAACGTGGAAGTTGATTCAGAGTTAACAATTAGAAATGGTTCAACAATTATTGTTAATAGTCTTATGATTCATAAAAACAATGAGACACAATCTCATATTACTATAAGTAAAGATTCAAAAATAGTATTTGTTAATGGTGCAAAATTGAAATATGATATGACTGTATTTACTTATAAAACGATTTTTGATTTTGATGATGTGAGTCAATTTGACGCTAGTCATATTGAATATAGTCAAACAGGTGATACACATACTTGCAGTGCACTTGCAAGTATTAGTACTTCTAGTAATATTGATGGAAACAGTAAAAATTCTCTTGACCAAAATTTCTTTGATGTTGGTTGTAATCCATTAAAAATTATTTTATGCCCACAATCATTCGTCAATAATTATGCATGTGAAGGAAGAATTGATTGTGTGTTTAGTAGTTCAAGTAAAAGTGATACATTATCTGCAGGAGATTCGAGTTCATATGAAAATTCAGGAGTTAATTGTCCATGTGGTAGAGAAGATCAACAATCATCTAAATATACATCAGCCTGTTCTGTTTCTATTCCTAATACATTAAGTGATAAGAATATTACTGATTTCTTTGGGCATTTTGTTGATATTAGAATTGATTCCTCTATTTTTATTTTTGTAACTAGTTCATCTGTTGATGTCCAAAATTTAATTCTTAGAGGCACTGTTCATTTCAGTAAAAGTGAAAGTGATACAAGTGAAACAACTGGTAAAATTACTGCTGGTAGTATAGATGTTTATACTAAACAACCAACTAAAGTTTATTTCGAGATTCCTTCTGAAGTAAAGTCAGCTAAGACAAAAGAGTCAAGTGTACTCTTTTCTTTCCATGATGAAACAATATTCAGACTTGGTAACGCTGATAATACAACTGTTGGTATTGAACCAGGAAGTTCTATTACTCTTAACCTGAATGGTGTACCTAGTGATAAAAGTATTGAACTAAGCCTTGGAACAGATATGAAAGATGCAAGTCTTGCTCTTATGGCTAAAAAACCTTTACGTTTTACTAGTGATGTTATTGTAAATAAATTAACACTCAGTAGATCTCAGTATTCAGGAGAACAAGACTCTAGTAATATTCCATTCTTCCTTGATGTTGGAGATGATCATGCATTTAAAGTACAAAGTCTTTCTGTTGTTCCATTGGAAGTTATTAAATATCCAATTGTTCAAGCATCTGATATTGAATATGTTTATGTTGGAGATTTCCAAAAGAGTTTATATCTTATGGATGAGTTCAAAAGTGTTTTGTATTATAAAGGAGAGACTTCTCAAAGAAAAGATGAAATTGTATGTGTTTTAAATTACAACAACCCTGTTAATGGTCATGTTATTTATAATGACTCTGATATATATGATTATGACTTACTTAGTTGGAATAGAAGAGGATGTCCATGTGATGGAGGACAATGTACCTTAAAAATTAATGATGAAATAAAACCATCAGTTGACAATGATACTGTTGCTGTTTTTGGAATTAATGCAACTGCTTTAAGTACATGGGAAATTGATATTGATAAGAATGTTGAATTAGGTGAAGGAAAGGCTGTTGTTGATAAAATGGTTGTTTCAAATGTCAAAACACTTACATTTAGAAGACTCACTGGTTCTATTTCATTATTGAATTATGTTCCAAAGACTGTAGAGTCTGGAGAAAGTGTTATTCCAACTTGTTATGACATTAATGTTGCTGATGTTAATTCTTCTTTCAAGGTAGAGTCTATCCAAACAAGTAATACTGCTCCTTATAAGCCTTCAGGTTCTGAAACTAGTTATAGTGCTAGTTCTAGTCTTACATTTATGCAGAATTCTGCTAGTTTTTCATTGACCTTTGATGATGAAGGTGTTTTCTTCTCTTCTGTTGTTGCTACTGACTCTAAACAAGTTAGGTTGGGTAGTAGTGAATCATCATCTATAAGCTCTCTTATTCATACAATGAAATTAATAAGGTCATCTATCTATTTTGAGAAAGGACAATGGGACTATGAAGCTAATACTTTAGATGTTGAGTTAAATTCCCCACAAACATTCCCAATTGTCTTTGCTCCTTCTTCTAATGTTAGATTTAGAGATGTTCAGGTCATTGTTCATATTCCAAGTATTTCTCTTAATGAACCACTTTATTTATTCCGTGTAACATCAAGTGATTATATTGCAAATAACAACATCACAGTAGTTGTTACTACTGATCCTATTGATACTGATAATATCAAGACTACCAGAAAAGAAGATTCTTCTGTAGAATATGAATTTGTTCAAGTCTGTTCAATTTATCTTGCTATTGTACCTAAAGGATATAGTATTGAAAGTTGTCCAAATGATCCATGTGGTACTAATGATGCAGTTCTTATACAAAACATTACTAACGACGATGTTCCAACTTGGGTAATTGTTATATTAGTTATTGTTGGTGTCATTATTATTATTATAATTATCCTCTTCATTGTCTTTATTGTAGTTGCCCGTATGTTCTTGTTAAGAAGAAAGAATAATAAAGTCTTTGATGATGATGACAATATTTTCTACCAGACTGCTGAAGAAACTACAGAAAAGGATGAAGGTTCTAATGAAGAAAGCCAATCTGCTGAATCAGGAAGTGGATCTGGTTCATCTTCAGGAAGTTCTTCAGGTGCTGGTTCTGAAGAATTAGGAAGTGGATCTCAGTCTGGAAGTAATTCTGAAAGTGAACAACTTGAAGAAAGTAAAAAGGAAGATGATAGCTCAAGTGGTTCAGCTCCAGAGTCAAGTGAAGAAGATGACGATGATTAAAAAGAAAAGGCTTTAATTGATTTTTTGTTGTGGTAATTAAAAAATTGAAATTATTAGAGATGTTTTTAAATAAAAATCCAATTAATCTATTCTTTTCATTTGTTTATTCTCTTCATTTTTGTGGCAATAGTTGTATGGATTTAAATAAGATAGATAACGTATATATTTATTAAAAAATGTCATCTTTGGACATTTATAGTTGAAGCTTACTGGACAACGTCTGTTTTCTACTGTCATATATTTTGGTGGGAAAATTAATTGATAAAAGAATTTGGCAATAAATGGGATCGAAGTGAGTAATATAATAATAACCAATTTCCACCAGAATTGCCAACTGAAAACAAAAGAAAGGTCTAGATAAATTAGAAAATGAATAGAAATAGTAAAAACAAATAAAGAACAAACCGAAATAAGACTTTAATACAAAGAAGGAGATGAAATAAATTGCTATAGAGAATATTTCTGAACCAAGAATGATCCAATTCCATCTTCTTATTGTAAATCCAACATTAATTAATTGGATTAAAATTAATGCAGTAAATGAAATTGACACGATATTAAGGAAAGTGTCTTTAAAGAGTACCATACATAAGAACATAATAATTACAGCTTGTAATATACTCAAAGACACCCAAGCAATCAAACTACTTAAAGACAGACGTTGTTTTGTTTGAAGTTGATGATATAAATCAGGAAATTCCATAACTTTTTGTTCATTTACTCGTTCATCAAGAATGAGTGAAATAACAGGAAGCATAGTGTAATAAGTGGCATATCCCATTAACAAAAATCCTTGGAATAGTGCAACTGGTGCAAAGTTAAATATTGCACTAAAGATAGCTTGCATAATAGAAATAATCATTCCTCGATGCATAATAAATAACGCCAAATCACTTGAACGAATATATGAATTTCTTCCATGCCATAATAATAGTCTAGTTATATGACTAAATTGTTTTAATGAAAAGTCTGCTGCCATTGATGCTTGTTTGCCTTCTTTTCCTTCAATGCCTAATCCAACGTCAGCCGCTTGAATCATACTTACATCATTACCTCCATCTCCAATAGCACATGTACGTATTCCAGACTTTTTTACTAATAAAACAATTTCAGCTTTTTGTGTTGGCATACATCTACAACAAATAACACTCTTTGCTTGTAATGCAAAACGAATGAATTTGTCTGGGATTTCTTTTAATACTAATGAAAGTGTTGATCCATCAACAATAAGACCATCATTTTCTAAAGTTATTGAATATCTTTCCATTAATATTTCTGCTTCTTGGACACTGTTTGCAAAGAATTCTCTTACTTCTTGGTCTACACCAATTAACCTAGTTGATTTGGCAATGCATAATGCTGTTTCTACTTTGTCTCCAGTTAACATCCATGTTCTAATACCAGCATGTCTCAACATTTCAAGTGATTGCTGAACATCATCTTGTAATTCATCTTCTACACCAGTAATACATAATACCTTTAAATTATTTTCAATTTTAGCAATGGATTTAGTTATTAATTCATCACGATCAGTCATAGCTGAACTAGCTGCATTAAACTCCTTTTTAAATATCTCATAATCTTCTTTGCTTATAACTTTCTTGCCAAATACTAATGTTCTTAATCCATCCTTTGCTAAATTTCCACACTCTTCACCTAACCATTCAACGTTATCAATCAACTTAGACATCACACTATCAGCACCCTTCATGTACAAGACAATTCCTTCATCACTACTAACAATTACTCCCATTCTTTTAGTACTTGAACTAAAAGGAAACATATTTAATATTTCATATTTCTTTTCTTTGCCCTCAATATCTAATTTCATTGTTGTGTAAGTTTTCTCTTTCAAAGTAATTCCTACTAATTCGGTAAATTTAACTAATGCAACTTCATCAGGACTACTTGCTTGATAATACCTTTCTCCTTCATTGGAAATTGATGGCGTGACATTATGACAAAGTGCCAATGCCTTGATACATTCAAATAATTTGCTAGTAGAATTCTTTTGTAAGATGGTGTTATTAGAATCATTTTGAATATACTCTTTTAATTCTTCTTTTAATTCTTCAGCACTATCAACTGAATATGTTTGATTACCAAGTGAAAGAATTTTAAAAGACATTTCATTTTTTGTTAATGTTCCTGTTTTATCTGATAATAAGAATTGAACTTGTCCAAGTTCTTCTGGAATTGAAGAGTTTCGAACTTCAGCACCTTCTATTTTTTCATCAGTAGAAATAAACATAGAATAAATTAGCTTAGAAATATCTAAATTTACCCTTATTGAAATTGGAATAATAGATGAAAACAAAATCATGAATCGAACAACAACCACAATTGTAAATGATGAAAAAATACCTCTACATAAATCTGGAACTACCATTAATATAGACAATCCTAACATAATACAAAACAATACCTTTGATACACTATTTAATGCCATATCAACCCTTCCCCATTTAACATTTCTTTGACCATTTCGGTTCATTGAACTTCGAGTCTCTTTTCCAGTATAAATAACAATACCAATAATTTCTTCACTTGCTAATACTGTATTTGCCCAAGCTGTATTATCAACAGATACAGGAATAGTATCATTTTCTTTTCTGATTCTACCAGTAAAACTATAAATTGCATTTTGTGGAGCTTCACAATCAATACAAAATATTGTGTTCTCTAATGACAAATGGTCTAACCCTTGAAACTCTTTGATACATCTTCTAAACTTCCAATCTGTTTCTCCATCAAGTTGGTCTGTCTTAATAAAACAACTACCATCTTCATCTGATGATTGAAGAATTACCAAATCTGCAGGAACTCTTTGTCCTTTTCTTAAACGAAGAATATGACCAACTTGTATGTCTTTAGCTTTTACAGGAATAAATTCACCATTATGAAGTTCTTCAAATTGTTCATTATTCAGTTTCTATATGATAAGTATACCAAAGTCTTCCTATCTCTTTAAAGACAAAAACAAACAACATCTCTAAGTGCAATTCTAATTTCATCAATAGCATCTTTGCAAATAGCTAAACAAACAACAAAAACTAATGGTGCGAAGTATGTAAACGTCATTCCGACTTTAAATATTGGAATTAATTGAGAACAAGCATTACATAAAAAGTATAGATTATAAAAATATTTAAATTGATTAAATAGTGACATAGGAAGAAAACTGTACCATGTTGTTCTAGTATTACTCACTTTGTTGGTGGTATATTTTTGTACGTTTTTAATTTCAGGACGATAAACACTCCTTGGCTATAAACGTAATTAGCTTCATCTTTCTTTTCACTTTTATAATTTTACAAACTTTATGAAATTGTTTATACCACTTAAGTGCTGGTATCTTCTCATACCATTTTCTGTTGTCTAAAGGAAACATCCAATCCTCTTCATCTGATGAAACCAATGGAATTTCTATCTCTTTCTTGCTCATTACTTGCTTTACAAGTAAGATTTTTTTTAGATTTTTTTCCTTTTTTTATCATTTTAGTTAATTACTTTGAAGTTTTTAGGTAGATCTTAAAATATAATATAAAAAAATAAACTGAGCATTTAGTCATCCCTTCATTTTATTTGATAATAAGATAATTTCTTTTCTTTTTAGGAGTTGTTGTCCTTATCATTTTGTTATTAATTATTTTACTAGGATAAAAAGATTACAATAAACAAATCAAGTTTTCTTGAGATAAATACATAACTACTTTTATGTAGAATTCGTGATAACTCCATTACATGCGTTATTCAATTCGACTCAACATTAATAAAAATATCAATTAAGTATTACGCTCTTTTTTTTTATTAACAAATTCTTACCAGATCATAATTTATGTCTTTTATTATATTTAAACTTCATTCTTCAATTTTTACATAAACATTCTTATCATTTTAATTTGTTTTGCATCACAAACTCTACATTATATTTTTCTGCTGTAATGAAGTTAAATGTCTTTTTTTATAATAATCACAAATTGAGTATTTTGTTTTTTCTCCATTAATTCTTATATTCTTTAACTTTGCATTTTTATTGTTGTAAACCCTTTTGTTACAACTTTCTTTATTTGAATTATTGAAAATGAGCTCTATTCAAGACTCTTTAATTTGTATTTGGAACTTCTTCACTTAAATAACTTCCAACAATTGACTAATTATCAAAACATATTAAAACTATGAAAGTTTATCATTTTTTTACTCACTTTACAAAAGTAAGTACAACCAAATTGCCATTTAAGTTTTTCAATATAACAAATATGCTACGTTCTATTCTTCTAAGATTAGTGAATGTCTGATTTTAGAGAGTTTGTTGAATTTAGAAAATTGCTTGATAAAATTAAATTTTTTATTGATATGCTCTTTATGTACTTGACTATACATAAGTAACTATTAATACCAATGAAAAAGAGAATCACTCCAAAACGAAAGAAGTTTCAATAAAAAGATGAAGCTAAAACATGTGTTTCATTTCATTGATGAATCGTTTACCAATAGTCCTTTGTTTTTTTGTTTGTTTATCAACTGCTAATTACACAATATTTAGTAATGGAACATTTAGAAATAACTGGTATGAAAAAGGTTCTAGTTGTTACGCTTCTCAAACAAGTCAATATAATGGACAATATATTCTCTATACCCAAATGGCAAGAGATAAATTTTTAAATTTATACTCAGACACACCAATAAAAGATTATAATTTTTTAACATTTGCAATTAATTGGGAAGATCAATACTGCACTTTAAGAATTGGAGTAGAACTTGGAACAGAAGGATACCTTACTAGTTTTAGTTTTAAACCTGACGTTTTAGAACCACAAAAATGGAATAGAGTTGTTGTAGACATATCATCACTTTATTCTAAAGACATTGACACAATTAGAGTTAACAAAAATGACCTTCGTGATACGAATATCATGTTTAATGATATTATGTTTACTAATGAACCATTACCCGCTGGTGTTTTTGAATATCCTAAACTACAAACTTCCTCTGAAGACTCTGAACTTAAAGATTCTTCTGCTCTTATTATTATGTCATTAGCTGCTATAATATTCACTATCTTCTTTTAGTCTCACTTTAATGATATCTAATTGAAAACAAAGAAACAAAAATTTTATCATTTGTTTTTTCATAATAATAAACCCTGGATATTCTTTTTATCATCACTTTATGAAGTCCTAGGTGTTGATGCCAAATACCATAAACAGTCCCTCTTGCTCTACTTGAGAAGAAAGTCAGAATAATTCTTTTAAAGAAGTGGACATATTCTGATGAATTATAATAAAAAAACAAATAAATATAATGGAAAGTACCCTTAAATTGGACCTTTCAAAAACAAAATAAAGGAAAATACCAACGTATCGCCACGAAAACTAAGATTTAAACCTAGCATACTAAGAAAAAACAATCATTAGAATATGTCAAAGAATAAATTAATTGGTGGAGCCCTTTGGGAACATTACAGTAAGAAAGTTAAAGACCATATGGATAATCCACAACACCGTGGTGAAATTACTGAAGAAGAAGGTAAAGAACATGGATGGAAAGTTATTGTTGCTGATTGGGGAGCTGAAGCATGTGGTGATGCTGTTAGAATGTACTGGGGAGTTAATCCAAAAACTAATATCGTAGAGAAAGCAACATTTAAGTCATTTGGATGTGGTACTGCTATTGCTTCTTCTGATGTTACAGCAGAACTTTGTATTGGTAAAACTGTTGATGAGTGTTTGAAAATCACTAATTTGGATGTTGAACGTGCTATGAGAGATTCTCCTGACGTACCAGCTGTTCCTCCACAAAAGATGCATTGTTCTGTTATGTCTTATGATGTTGTTAAGAAAGCCGCTTCTCTTTATAAAGGAGTTAATGTTGAGGATTTAGATGATGAAGAAATTGTTTGTACTTGTGCACGTGTTAGTTTAAGATTAATTAAAGACACTATCAGACTTAATGATTTGAAGACAGTAGAAGATATAACACATTATACAAAAGCAGGAGCATTTTGTGGTTCATGTGTTAGACCTGGAGGACATGAAGAGAAGAAATATTATCTTGAGGATATCTTAAGACAGACTAGAGCTGAAATGGAAATTGAAAAGATGAAAGCTAATTGCAATTCAAATGACTTTGAGAAATTAACAATGGTTAAAAAGATTAGTAAGTTGAATCAAGTATTTGAACAATACATAGATCCTATTGTTAAAAAAGATGGTGGAAGTGTAGAAGTATATGAAGTTAAGGATGGAGTAAATGGTGAAATTATCGTATATATTCAATATAGTGGTAAATGTGTTGGTTGTGCTGCTGCAAATGGAGCAACTAAAGAGAAGATTCAAACGATTTTAAGAGACACTCTTTCAAAGAAAATTATTGTTATTCCAGTTGACTTACCACATACTCATGATGATGATTTGATCGAACAATTGGAAAATGAAACAACCTTAAATATCAAAAAGAAAGATTAGTCTTTAATTTGAATCCATTTTTTTTGAAATTTCTTTTATTATTTTGTTTTCATTTACTATCTGGTCTTGGTGATGAAGGAATTGAAACTGATTGAACAAGATTTTCTGATATATTACTTTCAGACGATAAATGTTGTTTTGAGCAAACTGGAGTTGATACAGTCATATCAATTGAACTGTTTACTCTAGAATGAGCAGCTGCTTCTGCCATACTTTGTTTTGCTTCTTGAGCTAATCTCCATTTTTCTACACAACTCATTTGAGCTACACTTTTACCTCTTTCTGACCATTTTCTTGTTTGGGTTGTTCTTAATGATTGATATTTAATATCTAACATGTTTTTAGCAACTTCAGCTTTTTGTTTAGACGCTTCAATTGCTTTGTCTTCAAAGACCTTCTTTCTTTCTACTGCTTTTTCGTAGGCTGATTCAAATACTTTAAACCATTCATCTTTCTCTGCTTTACTCTTTAAACCAACAAAAATATGACTCTTACCTGAAGTAATTTTTAAAGTAGTTTCTGGTGTAAGTTCTTTTGTTTTTGGCATTTCTTCTTCTTTAACTTCTTCAATCTTCATATCAATTACATTAAAATGAGTTTTGTAAGTAAATTTTTTACTTAATGTTTTAGATAACATAGCTTCTTTATATTGAGCAAATATACACACATCAGAAAATAATAAACAATGACATGGAACAAATTTCTTTTTAAATAATGCTAATACAATACCATCTTTTTGATAGATTCTACCTGGTTGTTGTAAATTAACATCAGATGGTAAGTCAGTTATTCTTTCACTTAGTTCATTAACTTTATCAATATATTCATGTTGTCTTGAAAATTCATTTACACTTATTGCTACTTGAGAAACGATATTAAATCCATTTGATAAATCTTTAAAATCTGGATGGTTTTGTGGTGTATGTTTAAGAAGATCATTTAACAATAATTTATATCTTGGAATTCTTTGAATTGGTGTAATCAAGAATGATGTTAATTCAAAATTTTTATATTCATCAGGTGCATTATTTCTTATTTGTGAATAATAAAATTTGAAAAATTCATGACCACTTCCAAGTTCTTTTAGTACTTTTAAAGCTTCTGGATAATTTTTACAATATTCTCCATATATTTTTAAGAATGGAGCTAATTTAATAAAAAGTCCACCAATTTTAGATTCACTATTCCATTGAGAAATAACTTTTTGGAATGACTGAAGAAATTGTTCATTAACAGAAAGAATCATTTGAATATCACTAAATATTTTTTTGTACTGATCCATTGTAATTAATTGTTTTGTCATAACTGGTTCAGCAAATAATTTGACTATTAAATTTAATTGTTGAACATAACTTTCTTCAGTAGATAATAACTCTTGTGCAACATTAGTTCTATATGCATATAATTTATTCATTTTTCTAAATTCAAATTGTCTTGCTGCACGAGTAATAACTGTTGCAGCAAATTCTTTTTGTGCAATTGTTCCAGCTGTATGAATTTTTTCTAATATTTCTCCTTTAATTTTAAATCCTTCAAACCATCCTAATTTCTTTTCATCAAAATTTACTAATTTAATACCATCTAAATCTTTTACTGCATATGCAGCTGTCTTTGGAACACCTGTTTTAATCATAAATGCAGATGTTTGCTCTACAGTCCAATATCTATAATCCATAGAATATGCAAATTTTGGTGGTTTAAATAGATTCATTTTAATAACATTACCTGTCATTTTTAATACTTCTGTTTGTCTTCTTTGTGCAGTTGATACTTCTTTTATTTTTGCTGCAATAATATTTCTTTGTTTAACTGTTAATTTTCCAACAATACATTTCCAATCAATAAATTTTAAATCTTCTACACATGTTGCTGCTACATCATCACTAGTAACTTCCATTAATACTTGATCACATTCTTTTTGGTCTGGGAATAAATCCATCATAAATTTAGTTAAGTCTACCAAAGTGAGTAAAAAGTTAATGTTTAATTTAGTCCCATAAAGATATTCAAACTATTTTCTGATTTGTTGTTTTCTGTTGCCATTACCTTCAACTACCTTTTTTTATGAATTTTTTAAAATCTTCAAAAAAACTTTTCTTGTTACTTCGTGTCAGCTGAGTTTTTCTTTCAGTAACTCTATTATCCATAATCCTATTATTTCAGGATTTTGTCCTAATTCATGTTTTAATAATTTTTATTCATTGCAGTTCTTCAGTAGTTATAAAACTCGTTATTTATAAGAATTATTTATTACTTACCTTAAAAACAAAATAAATTAGTTTTTATG